GCGCTGAGCCGGCCGGCCGGGCGGGGCCGGCGCCGGCGCGCGCGGCCGGCTTCGGAGCACGGACCGGGCCGCGCGCTGGCCGCGGGAGTAGCGAGCCAGCTTCAAACTATTACAGCCGGCTCCCACAGCCAATTAGGGCCGGCAGGCGGCCATGGCGGCTCGGCGTGCGCGCTCGGTCCGGCGGCGCGGCGGCTCGGCGGCGCACGGCGCGCGGCGAACCCGGCGGTCGGGCGGGCTCGTGCGGAAGCCCGCGCTCGCGTACGCGCTCCCTGGAGGCACACGCTGTGTTTGACTCGAGCTAATCGTGAATTGGCTCACGAGGCCGTCGTTTTGGGGTGAGCCCTGAACCTGGTCGCCTCGTTAGAAAAACCGCTTTGAGCTATGAGCCGAATGCCATTGTTCGTAAATTTCATGACATGAATCGTGAGCTGTCCATTTGTAACAGTGTCGTGTCAGTGAGCCATATGGCTCAACGTAAAATGGCAACATGAGCAGACACAGCACGCTTAAGTCAAATTAACAGGCCATTACGGAGTGTTGAAATGAACAGCATTCAGCCTTGATTAAAAAGCTTTTTGTGAAGTCAGCACAAAGTTTGCTACTGTAATTTCTAAGCAGGAAGCACAAAATTGTTGATCCCGATCTTAATTTTGTCAAATCATGTCATCACCGACAGCATGATTAGTGCTGGCCAGTGGTTTCGTTCTTTTCTTTACTTCGTTTAGAGCGCTTTCAACCACTTCACTTGATCGCTTCAGGACCATGAGACGAAGGAGACTGGATAATGGTGGGGCAGGACTGCATGCACCTGGAGGCAAACCGCCAAGCATCACCCGCGTGAGGAATCCCCCTCCCCCCCCCCGCTGCAGGGTATGCACTGGGCGCCCCGCACGGAGTCCCCCTCCGGAGGGCGGTCCCTCGGCCCACTCGTGGCTAGCGCACGCAGACTGCTCCGGACAAGCAGGGCGTCGTGAGGACGCGGGATCAAGCAAAACATGGGATTGGAGGGTCGGATGGCTGGTAGAAATGTGTTGACCTACGCGTGATTGCACTAGGATGGCACTTGGCAGGTGCAGACTGCCATCTGTCATGTTTAGTGCAGTCATTACATGCTATATAACTTAAGGGTCTAGGTCGTGGGTGCCTGGTAGAATGTGCTGCCCTGGAAGTGAGACTTGGGAGACCTGAGTGGTAACAGGTTACACGTACGGTATTGTTTGCTGCAAGGCATTTGCTTGGTTCAAACTACAAGCTTGCTGCTGCGATATTTGTGCCTATTTTCGGTAGTATGGTATATATATATATATATATATATATATATATATATATATATATATATATAAATGAGTCATAACGCAGCGAGCCTACGAGCCTTCAAACCACAAGCTTGCTGCTGCGATATTTGTGCCTATTTTCAGTACTATGATATATATATATATATATAGTATAATATATATATATATGTATATTATATATATATATATATATATATATATATAAATGAGTCATAACCAACGAGCCAGAACTGAATGGGATATTCTATTCTGCAAGCCGCGTGAGTCATGAGGCCGAATACGTCCGCGTGAGCGACGGGTCCCAACTGAGCGGAATAAAAAAATAATGGAAACGGCTGTGAGCTATGAGCTTAATCGAATCCAAAATCTGTGAGCCGATCATGAGCCGCCTCAACAAATTTGAGTCGGACACAATCTGCCTGCAGCCCAGTGTGAGCCGCTCCACCCACCACAGAGGCGTAACACCACACAACGAATACGCGGCTGCTGTCCGTTTCTGGCGTGATCGTGGGTTGGGTTTCAGTGGCGAATCGGACTAACTTTTGGGGAGACTGTTGGCGCTTTGCCTGATGTTATTTTCGCTCAGTCAAAATTACCCCCATATGTGATCAAATTGTAGGCTCGTAACCTCTCAAAGAAATGCTGACGGATATAATAATATGAAGAATGGTAGCATGCTGCGCATCCGCCAGCGACGATGGCTGATACCTTGACCTCCACCCTGTTGGTCTCTAGAGATCGCTCTGCCCCGTCGCTGAGCCGGGTCAGAGTCTTTTGTCGACTCTGATATACGAGTCGACATATATCAGACTGCCCTCCCCCTCCCCCACGTCCTCGAGCCAGGTCAAGGTACCTGGCTCGTGACCGTGACCTGGCTGTGCCCAGCCAGGTCACGGTCATCGTGTGCCCGCATGGTCAGCAGGGCCAGGTGGTCAGTGTCCCCTCCGCCCTCTGCCTGAGCTCGCCGCTGCTCTGTAATTGGCCGCCAGCAATCCATATCGGGTGACCGGCAGAATTTCCGCCGACAAATAACGCCAGATTGTTTTGCGCTGTCGGTCGCAAAATAGAATCCAGCCATCGTCCGGGTGCGCAAACAGCTATCGAATGTCGAGCTCTGATTGGTCGATCTGGGCGGCGATCGCTTATTGTTTGTCTGGGGCTTAGGGCTTTGTTTGTCGGGCATGTTTGCCGCCTGACCGCCTTTGGCAGGCATTGGAAAGTTGTGGGGTAATTCAGTGATCACACAGTAGAGGGAGGTGTTTTTACCGGAGGAACTTAAACCCGGCCGCGTTGCGAAAGAATCGCCTCTACGCCTACACTTACACCCTCCGCACCTGCAGCGGCACCCTGACTGCTTTGAATGTGCATGAAATAGTGCACGGTCAATTTCAGGCATTCGTTTACTCAACATTGACACAGTGACAGTTATATCCATGGTTCAAACAAGCTCGATGTTTTGGAAGGTTCGCCGCTACTAAAATCGGGTGAACGAAGGGAATTAACACCACCAAACGTTGCAAGCACTGAGGAATACTAAATTGTAACCATTAGAAAGTGCATTTCGTCTCCCTCCTCCAGATGAAAACATGTAGCAAAGAACATGTTATCGTGAGCATCTTTCCCCAGTTCACAGGACCGTTATATCATGAATGCGTGGTGGTCATGTGACCGTATGACACAGGCCTGTGCGCACGCGGTGATAGCAGCGATCCTCCATGCCGTCACTGTGTTTAATGTCATGCAGGTCGGGTGCAGCTCAACCCACGCTTTGTGACCACTACAATGGTTGACCTTGGAGCCAATCTATTAAAAGAAAATGCCTGAAGGCCGGATCATTTCCGATCCTGAATACCATGAAATACGCGGCAAAGTCGTGGAAATGTCCAGTTTGCAAGGTGCGATACGGCAGCTAATCGTGGTCGCTTTACCGCGCGGGGACGGCCCTATTGAAGGGCGGTGCCACCGGCTGTGACTAATGGAAACTCACGACAAATATTGAGAGAGATAGAAGCGGCTTGAATCTTCCTCATGCTAGAAATAGTATTAAACTCAAGCGTTATTGGTCGGGTACTTTTCCCTCCCCCCCCCCCTCCCCTTCCCCGGTTCGACGCCCACCTTCACTTCACTTCACTTCACTGAACCTGCCTCTTGTGAGCATATCCCCCCTCCCTCCAGCCCGCCCGAGCCGTTTCCCGTCTCACGAGCCCCACTGCCGGTGCGATAATGACGTCACAGCCCCCTCATCACTCCGTCACTGGAGGTGTAAATTTATTAATTACAAGTCAGTAATAGTGACATAATTGGCGGGTAACACAGGAAAAGCCTCGACACCTGGCTATTACCAATCAGCTGGGCGACGGGCCTCGCCCCAACTGCAGATTAGGTTTTTGTCCTTTTTGAAGCGGCCTCCACTCCGCTAAATGGCTGATGACAGTGGCCATGGTCGGACGCCGAGTCCCCTCTGAAGGACACGAAACGGGCCACCGATAGCATGAGGCGTGAATGTGCCCGCTGCGCAGTGCTTGGTTATTGTGTGGCGCTTGATGCACAGGCGGTGGAGCTGTGTTGCAGTTCAGGCTTCCAGATCTTGAAGACATGCTCTGTGTGGCAACGCGCTCTGATTTCTGGAAGGGTTGGAGCTTAACCCTCGCACTGATAGGGGATCGATGCGACGCACAACCCTGCTAAATATTTTCGATAGAGGGGACCGATGCGACGCACATCCCTGCTAAATATTTTCCAAGGATGTCCTTCTTAAATGTTGTGTGATGGCTCCCAAATTTTCGGTACTCTAAAGCGGATTCATTGCGCGTGTTTTGACGCAAAAAAACGTGTCTCCAGCATCTCCGGTTTCTGAGAAGCTGTTGTGTCTTAGGAACACTGTACGGTGATCCACGCGCGGCGCCGGGGGCGGGGCGGGGGCGGGGGAGCGGGGGGCGGGGAAACCGACGATTCCGCGGACCACGAGCAGCGGGCCGGGAGTGCTTCATTAACAGAGCTCTACATCATAAATATATGCTCAAAATGCAAACAAAATAACTTACAGATGTGCTTTGAAGTAAATAACGAAAACGTCTGTGTGAGTTTCATGTTGCTGCATGACATGATTTCGAAAGTATTAGGATGTAAGGTTGAAATAGTTCGATTTTCGGGAAAAGTTTACATTTTACCTGGCTAATGAAATCAATTACTGCTCTAGTAACATCAGACTTTTTACAAATCGCGAGCTGTAATTGATATCAATTCACTGCTTCTTCCACGAGGCTCTTTCTGTCTTAGCTTGGAAACGCCAGGGAAAAGGTCGTTTTAGCCTCCTACTCCCTATCAATTTGTCTATGAAAAACGACGAATCAAGGCGAGGATTAAGTGCTCGGAAGGACGCATTAATTTGCTCAATTGAATTTTTAACCAGCAAAAGGTGGCCAAGTCTACTCAACTGCCTGACCAAAAGCCCGCGTGTTCTTGCCAGGTCGAATGCAGCAGATTGGTGGGTTACAAAGCCGCGTGTCTTATCTGCACACTGTCGAGTCCTCCAATACGCATTGGACATCCCCTCTTGCCCTAACCGCCCTCATTGCAACCTCTCCGCTTCTCCAGCCTTTGCTGGGTTTGCCTGCCCCCACTGCCTCCACAATACCACCGGAACGGCTCCGCAGACCCCCTCCAAGCCGTCCACCGCGTAGTCCACCGTGCCATCCACCGTGCCGTCCCGTGCCGTCCACCGCACCGTCCACCGTGCCGTCCACCGTGCCGTCCACTGAGCCGTCCACCGTGCCGTCCACCGAGTCGTCCACCGTGCCGTCCACCATGGACGGGCTGCAGCGGGCGGGGCGACACGGCGGCGCCGGCGCAGCTGAGTGTAGCGGCCAGCGCCCGCGGCCTCCTCCCGTCCTGGGCCCGCCGGCAGCCGCACGCACAGGGAAGGCCCGAGGCTCCGCAGTCGATGATGGGTCGGAGCGGGGGCCGGCACGCTGAGGCTCCCAGCCGATGATGGGTCGGAGCAGGGCGGGCAGGCTGAGGCCCCGCAGCGATGGGTCGGAGCAGGGGGCAGGCTGAGGCCCCGCAACCGATGGTGGGTCGGAGCAGGGAGGGCAGGCTAAGGCCCCGCAGCCGGTGATGGGTCGGAGCAGGGGGGCAGGCTGAGGCTCCGCAGCCGATGGTGGGTCGGAGCAGGGAGGGCAGGCTGAGGCTCCGCAGCCGATGGTGGGTCGGGACAGGGCGGGCAGGTTCTGAGGTTTCCCAGCGGTGGTGGGTCGGAACAGGGGGCAGGCTGAGGCCCCGCAGCCGATGGTGGGTCGGAGCGGGGAGGGCAGGCTGAGGCCCCGCAGCCGGTGATGAGTCGGCGCAGGGGGGCAGGCTGAGACTCCGCAGCCGATGATGGGCCGGAGCAGGGCGAGCAGGCTGAGGCTCCGCAGCCGATGGTGGGTCGGGACAGGGCGGGCAGGTTCTGAGGTTTCCCAGCGGTGGTGGGGTCGGAACAGGGCGAGAAGGCTCTGAGCCCACATGCGGCTCAGTTGGTGGTGAGAAAGCCACCGATGAACTCAAGCAAGGCGGGACATGAGGCAGAGCATGGGAGGAGGGCGGCCCTTAACCTGAGGGACGCTTATGAGGCTTATAGTGGCGCATGGAAAGAAACGGAACAACATCGCGCTGTTCACCACCGGGCTGGTTTTCGCAGCAAAAGAGCCGAAGGGCTCACCACGGCAATCTCGATCGTGCTGAACTGGGGAAAATATCTCCAGCATCATCATCATCAGCAGCAGCAGCAGTAGCATCAGCAGCAGCACCACTGGGCGGCCGGCAGTGGATTCCTTTCGCTTAGTTGGTGCCCTCCGGGCCAGATCATGGCCAACTCATACCGCGCTGGCTCATCAATGCTCTCCGCGCATGCCTGGTAAGGCGGCGGCTCGGTAGGTGTGGGCCTCGATTATGCATTCAGCTGCATGCTGCAATGTCGTTGATTCTGTGATATACTTGCCACATGTTTTAATTTATTTGTTAGCATCGTAAGGAGGCTTCAGGCAGGGTTAAAATGCTTCCAGCTCTAGAACCGTGCCTGAGCTTGCCTGAGTTTGCGCTGTTACGTGTCGTCTCTTTACCAGTGGTTTCGAAGAACCAAATTATTTTCAGGATCATCCTAATTGGAGAACGGCATGGAGCCGTTTGATAAGCGTGACGTCTTACCAGATCTCGCCAACACAATGTTAACAAAATTGTGAGCAGCGCGCTGTTCTGCAGACTGCATCTGCTGTTTTGCTGTTATCGCTGCACCGTGGCAGGCGGGACGCGTCTCCATCCTCCCAAGCCCCACTGCACGAACACCACCACCCCCTCCCTCGCCCCTCTTCCCCACCTCTCCTGCGTCCCCCGTCGCGTGCGCGCCAAAACTCGCCTCCCGCCGAGCGACACGGGCGGGAGATAGCCGACTCTGGCGCGCAGACGGCCACATCACAGGCCGCCGCCTGACAACTCTATCAGCGCGAGCGGCGCGGGTAATAAGCAGCCGCGTGGAAGGTGACGCTCCCCGGCCAGCGGTGTCTTTCATTGAACCCAACACCTAATCACCCCCATTGTTGTTCCATTGAACCCCTTAATTTAATTGATGCATGGCTGGCTGACCGCCGGTATGCCGGATTCAATCATTACCATTTTCCAAGCGCGCCGGGTTTCTCCCGAAGCGAAGGTCCCCGCGCGCCGGCTAATTGGAATTTTAATAAAAAGCGGCTGCGGCTCTCGAGTTTCGTCGCTTTTTACCGGCGCCGGCGCATAATTTCACACCTGTGGCCAGCCATTGAGACGTAAGGAATAAATCAGCGGATGAATAATGTCGGAGCGCGCTTGCGGCCGGGCAGCGCGGGACGGCCGACCCGCTGGGGGCGCCGCGCGGTACCGGCCGCGCCGCACCGATGGCACGCGCCGACCCGGCCGCGCCCCTGCGGCAACGGCGCCCGCTGCCCGCCGCGCGCCGGGCAGGAGCTGGATGGAGCGCGGCTCCCGACAGATGGCGTTGTTGCGTGGGTGTGGCGCGTTCCCGTCGCGCGCTCACCTGCTGCGGTTGTTTCGCTAGAGAGTGGCGAGGCGTGGGCACGCGGAGTGGCTGGAATGGCTATTTTTAGGGCAGGCTCGTCTGATGTAGCTACCAGCCATGCACGTTCACAAAATCCAAGCTTGGGGACGCCTTTCATGTTCCGTAACTATGCGATTAGATCAAGACATTGTAGCAGTACGGGAGAGTGTGAGGGCTCAGCCAAGTACGCAGAGGTAAAAGAATGTCAGGAGAGGATTTTCAAGTAATTTTCTCCAATGTCATCCTCTTGAGCCGTCAAGCGCATCCTCAAGTTCGTCCTCGAGAGTCATCCTTTTGAGAATAAGCGCAGATTGAAATATAGAATAGCCGCCAATCTAATTGTTGCTTAGCACTTAAACGTCGTTGAACCAGAATTGTCTGGTACTTTGAAGGTCGCTTAACGTCGCACTAAGAGCTCCGTACTAATATTCAAACGTAATGTCATGGTTTTTATTTTTCCCCTACGACGCTCAGCACTGTGGCCCTTTTCGAAGCGCACGTGGGCTTCGGAAAGCATTGCTTACTATATGTTGAGCCCAAAAGTCGCACCTCTTGTCCGCAACAGCTGACAACGGCCCGCAGCAGATTCTGCCGCCTTCGACTGTTGTTGCAAATCAAATCCCAATCTGAAGAAAAATTGAGTCGGAATCTACTAAATGAAAATGCATACATGTCATTTTTCCACACAAGAAAAGGGATGCTAATCAGTGCAAACAACATTTTCCTCAATCACAGAGATATTTCAGCATAGAACCAATTTAACGATACGATTAAAGGGGATTTAGCGATATGATTAAAGGGAAATATTTCACATTTGAAGATATTGAAGCAATGCATCAGATGTGATGCAACAGGCACACTTATGACTTTTGGTATACTTTTAAGCGGAAAAATGACTTTAGACAGCACCATTCTCTGTTTGGTAAGGATGCTCCTCAATGCTTGGTTTGCTTACGTTATCGTACCTTGCGCAACATTGATTGAGGGCCAATTGACGGACGTTGTATCTGGAGAATGCTGCGACCATTATATTTTTATTGGCCTTGATCACCGCATAGTTAATGGAATGGCAGGATTTCAATGATGTTATTTTGATATCATAAATGCCAAGGTGACTTTTAAATACTATCCCCGATATACCTTTCCCCATTTTTGTGGGCGTGTAGCTCAGAAACTAGAGTGGTCTAGGTCTTAAGAAGGTCAAGATTGTGAACAGCACCGATATGTCTTCAAGGTGACTATTTCAGTTCAAAACCCCATATAAATTTGAAACAAGCCCTCTAAAAATAGAGTAAAAGCACAAGATGTGACAAAATGAGAGCCTGTAGCAAGCTATTTGTACTCAATGAAGCTTGGTTGAAGCTGGCAATTGAATGACAGAGTCGTACGTGGTAACCTGTACAATGTGCCTAGTTAAAGTCCTGCACGTAAGATGCATCCCCCCAAAATGAAGATATTTGTGGAAGTAGAACAATGGAGTGAGAACATTGAATCATCTTAAACAGTGCGGCGCTTTTGGGCTGCGCATCTCCATGATTGTCTCCATTTTTGTCTCCATTAACGCCATGTCTATGAATTTGACCCCTCAAAATCATGGGCAAATCGTTTCAAATTAAAATGTATATTACGAAGCTGTTGGAGTATCATCAGCACGGGCTTCAACACGAACCCCCAAAGAAATTAATATAATGACAGAACAATGCTGGAACACGAAATTGGTGCGAACACGTGCTTGAATTTGAGTAAAAGTGAGTTGGCTGTCCACCTAGCATTTTTCACAAATTGCTAACCGGGCTTTATGTTTTACAACAGCTTATTCGCGCCTAATTTCAAAATGCAGCACAAAAGCATTTGATTGGTGAACCAAATATGCGCGCAACGAAATATCAACAGTGAGGAGCTTGCCGTGACTGCATAACCATCACCACAGAAAGCCACTCACCACAAAAATATTGTTTCGTTATCTCCGTGAAGGCTTCCCATCACTCCGTCTCATCAAACACCAGACATATCTACTCCACGGCAACCTACTGCAGCACTGGCACCGTTCACCGAACTGGTAGCTGCAGAGTCGCTCACCGCTGCTAAATCTTTTCTGTTGTACACCGAACGTCATGAATAGCAAACCGTTGTGAAGTGCCACTTGAACCATTAGTAACCCCGCCAAGCTGACGTGTCGGCGCAACGGTCTTGGTATTTAATTATGTAAGCAAGGACGCCCTCAGGATGGTGCTCGGTTTTAAGCGAGTGCTTTTGTAACGATTTTGTTGGTCTGGTTATATGCATGCAATGTAAATGTATGCACATGCGGCCTTTGTCAGAGGATGATCACGGCATGGTGTGGAAGCAATATCCTTGTACTGCGCCATTGTACATTTATGCTGCCATGATCGGACTCTTAAGACTGAGGCCACACGATTCGCTTGCTCTGAACGAATGCACGGAATTGGGAATGGTGGTGGGTAAGTTTAAGCCACTTGTCTCTGGACCTGACTGATGGAGAGCGTGGCTGTGGCTAGTGCTCTGGTGTCTTTGGTGTCTGAAGAATAAGGCAGTTACTTTTAATCTTCGTTTAGAACCGTAACTACAAGTGATTGTTACGTTTGGAGCATGGATGACAGGCATAACACGACTGTACATTTTTTGATAATTCTGAGCAATGGAACTTTTTATCAACCTTATTTCTTTTCGATAAAGATTTTGTTCTGGCCATCTTACCAAAGATATGTAACTAGTCGTCTTCGAGAGT